AAATGTGCTATAGTTTGTACTCTTTTTGTGTAAAAAATACAGTTTTCGATGCACCACAAACCAGATATATACAAGCTAAAAATCACATATTATGGTCATCTTGCTTCATAATGTAGAGTTTGAATGGGATAAAACGGGTACAAAAGTGATAATATTCCATATAATCTCGAAGATTCCACTAAATTTGATGAGTTGAGGGGGTGGTTGTAATTATCCAAACAAGAGGGGTGTTTTTGTAATTTGGCCATACCTCAAGGGGGTGTTTGTAATTTACCCTATAAGTTATTATACGAGAGTGTAGGTTTACCTAGTGCACCTACACGGTTGGTTGAGGATTTCTTCACTACAAAAATAGAACTTCGGATTTTTCTTTATTTTATTAGATAAAGTAATTAATCGATTCTTAATTTTAGAAAAATTCAGAGAAGATTCAAAAAACAATATTATTTATAACTTGGTTTATAAAATAATGCCCATAAGAAAATTTATTTATGCATTACACACTCTATTTTATTTGATATTTCATACATTTAGCCCACAAAAGTTACATCCGTAGATAAATATTAAGGCAAATTACAGTCACCAACTGAGGCAATATCAAATTACAAAAAAAACCTCTCTTATTTGGGGTAATTACAATTACTACCCATCAACCACGTATTTTCATACGGAGAAACATCTTATTCAGTAGCTAAATTTGACACCCTAAGGATGAGCGTGTCATACAATACATAGTTGTTAGGTAGTTGTAACTATCCAAACGTTAGAATTTTTTTTATAATTTAACTTTAAGTCAAAAGTGACCGTAATTTGACCTAAATATTATTAGTAAGTGAGTACATATTCATTGTTCTCTAAATAAGATATCAATTTGTTTTAACTTTTAATTAATTTAAGAAAAAGAATAAGAGATATGTTATTGTATCTTCACAAAATATATATATATATAGGGGCCACGTGCTGTTATCCTGGGAGGGGGTCTATATCTTGAGCCCCACAAAGTAAGCAAGGTTTAGTAAATGGCGGTCACTTGCCAGCCAGCCGAACAACCTTTGGGGTCATGTGCGTGGATTGGATTGTTGTATAGGTCACTCATGACAATATTATACCTCATTTCACTACACTATACTACAATTTTTATTTATTTTATTTATAATTCTGATTTAAAAAAAATATATATTATTTTTTAAAATAATAATTGAAATAGCAAAAGTCCCATTTTTTTTTCTTAGAACATTTTCAAGCTCGGCCTTGATTTTTATTTTTTTTAAATATGTTGTTTTAATTTCATCTATTATTTATGTTTTACAAATAAATATCATGAACCCAAACATTATCTTATATGAACTAAAAGTGAACTCGAGTTTGTCTGAATACTAAAGTTTAAAAATTTCGAGATCAAGTTTCTATTGAAACGGCTCATCAAACTCATTAGTCGGGTTGACTCATTTACATATATCATCATCAAATAAATAATTCAAATATTTAGTATTTGATATATTTATTTTATACAAATAACACTAATCAACAAAAATATTTTGGTGATAAGTGAAAATTTGAACTATAATTCAGATATTGAAGTTGTTTTCAAACTTATATTAAAGGTAATTTAACGAATTTAGTTTTTAGTAACAAATATGCTTAAGTCCACTTTGCACCATCAAAATGTACCACTCTTTGAAAATAATTTATAGCACTTTACACTCTCAAAACTTGTTTATAGCTTCAAATATCTTTGAAGTTATTATTAATTAGAAAATAAACATGTTTCGAGGGGCAAAGTGCAAAAATAGTATACTTCGCGGGTGCAAAGTGAAATTAAGCCTCACAAATATTTATATATTTTCATTCATTTTAGGAATAATATGCTAAGAGTCCCTTGAATGAAACCTAGTTTGAACTAAATGACAACCTTAAATCCAATCTTTTAATTGAATCCCTAATTTGACCAACATTCCTAATTTTTATTTTATTCCTAGTTTGCCCTTAGACCCTAAATATAATATCTCACGTTTCTTCAACTAATCAAATTTATTTTTCTTTTGCGCTCTCTCTCTCTCTCTCTCTCTCTCTCTCTCTCTCTCTCTCTCTCTCTCTCTCTCTCTCTCTCTCTCTCTCTCTCTC